TTTTTGAGTTGGAGTCTCACTCTGTCACCCAGACTGGAGTGCAGTGGCCGCTCCAGCCTCGACCTGCTGGGCTCCAGCAAGCCTTCTGCCTCAGCCTTCCAAGTAGCTGGAACTACAGGTGCGCACTACCACGCCTGGCTAACTTTTTGATTTATTGGAGAGATGAAGGTTCGCCAAGTTGCCAAGGCGGGTCTCGAACCCACGAGCTCGGCAATTCACTCACCTCAGCCTCCCAAGGTGACTATCTTTGTTTTAAAAGAAGAATTCTATTAAATAAATACTAGGCTGTGTGTGATGGTTCAAGCCTGTAATCCCAGCAGGAAGAGGGGAGAGAAGACAAAAAAGAGACGAGGACTAGAACAAGTGGGGAAATCAAGCTGAAGAAAAAGGAAGGAAGAAAGCTCCCAGTCCCCCTCATAACTAAGGGAGCAGTTGGCCAGGATCCTCCTGCCTCCTCATACTTGCATGTCCTGCTCCTCTTTGTCAAGGGAATTAACACGCTCTTGAAGGATATTCTCCTGTTTTTCAAAATTCTTGAGGAGAAGTATTTCTTGAAATAACGTGACATGATGCAGGTCAGATAATTTCATCTGAGTATCTAGTTTCAATTTCTCATGTCTCAGGAGATGGAGTTCTGCATCAAAAGTGACAATCAGTTCACTGATCTGAATGGAAAAAAAGATTAGAAGATATGTTAGAAGTTAAAAAAAAAGGCAAATGCATTTTGTAAAAATTATCTAACAGTACTAATTTGTTTAAAAGAATTGTTTTCATTTTGCCTTTATTATGAAGTATTGTGCATGTATGTATGTATGTAGTCATATAAGTTAGTTCATTAGTGGCATTAGATTTACATAACTTAATTTATTAGGTGATAGGAATTCTGTAACTATAGTCCTGCCAGCTATTTCTTTACCACTGATTAAGCCATCAATCAAGTATGCCCTTCTTGCTGAACTGTATAGATGGTGAACTCTCTGAGTGGTTAGTGTTTAGATTTGTCTCCTCTTTATTCCCTATAGTATTTCTACATTGCCTTTTATGTGGTAAGCATGAATAACTTCTTTTACTTAGAAAACTTCTTTTACTTAGAAAATTTTCAAACCTACAAAATAGTAAATATTTTTAAATAAATAATTATGGAGCTGTCACAAATAACCTATTCAATTTTTCTATTTTACAGATAAAGAAATTAAAGTTAAAGGTAATTTTCCTGAAATCAAAGCTAATTTATTACAAAGGTGGGATAAGAACCTAAGTATCCCAAGCCCCGGTCGAGACCTCATTCCAGAGTGGTCCTAATAACTCTAAGACCCAAGTTTTGCTTTCATTTTGGTACAGCTTGTCCCCATCTCATCCAAAGGAGATGACGAGGTCAAGAGAAAACCCCAAGGACTGATTCTCCTGAGGAAACTAGAATAGGAAGAGACAAGCTATCTTGTGTTTTTCCATTAGGCTGTACATGATAGGGAGCCTCAACTATTAAAATGCTGTAATGAGTGAGGGCCCAGACAAGGAGCTGAGGAAGGAGAAGAGATCTGCAGGCTTGGGACAGTGAAACTGCTAAAGAATTTTAGAAAGTTGAGAGAGAGAGAGAAGAAAAAATTAAACTTTTAAATAAGTATGGCTATAGACTATGTGTATGGGTTTCCCTTTAATGCTTTTCTGCAAATTTGAGTTTTTCCTAAATTTTTTTGATGGCAGGACTATATTTTCTTCAGTGAAACACCATTCTTAACCTGGACCACACTGGTCTCCAAGTTTGCAAGGGTACAATTGTTTCATTCTCTTACCCCTACTAGCCTATAAGCTTTGTGAGTATTGAGAACATGCCTTTTTTGAGAACTGTTATATCCCTAAAACCTACCTGTTACTATGCCTGCGTATAGAATGTCCAACAAGTATTTGTTAGGTTAATAAAATAAATAAGTTACAATTAAGTCAATCAAAACTTTTGGCTGAATATCATGTTTGACACTGCCTAGAAAATGTGGGAACTCAGAAGTAAATGTGACCCTTTGGTCAAGAATTCTATAATCTAATTTGTAAGACAAAACTAACACACATCAAACAGCAAGAAAAATTAGTGTCAAACATGAGGTGCTGATTACAGGTGCAATTGGAGTTTACAAACAAAGCAGGAGTTGGTAATGTGGGCAGAAGATATTGGAGTGAGTTTAGAACTCTGAATGATGACTCAACTCTGGAAGGAAGTTATTGCAGGTAGAAGGAAATAGCAAAGGAAAAAGCTCAGATATAAATCTCAGAAAGGGGAGGGAGAGAAAGTGGGGAGTGGGGAGTGGGGAGAGGCAGGAACAGTGAAAAAACAAAGCTGGACAAAGTAGAGACAATGGCAAAGAATAAGATTGGGAAGCTATTGAGGACACCATCACAGGCAGAACTGGAAAGACACACAGAGGAAAGGGCTCTATCTGCCTAGCAGCAGAAAGCTAACTATCCAAGAAAGGCTCTTTTCCTTTCATATTCAGAGTACATCCTGCTCAGCTGGCCTAGGTCTGGTCCTGATACTCCTAGACATAAAAATAGTTGCCATTCCTGTTCCAGAATCCTGTTGAACCCAGTAATCACCATAGACACTCCCACTAATGGAGCAAACCACAATTTATAAAAAGAGGATGGGCCATTGCTAGGCCATTGTGGCCACTGTCTTGGTAAACTATGGTATGGCCATATGTTCCTTGAGCTATGGCCCCCTCCCCTACCTTGGGAAGGTGACTCTCTTCTTTCTCTCTCTCTAATTTACTTTCTAAATAAACTTTATTTTCTAATCTAAAAAAAAGAAAAAGAGGATGGTATGAAAAGCAGAGTGTGCTCCATTTCTCTGGAAGATTTTAAATTACGTTCCATCCATCACCTGAGCGCTGCTCCTCTGCTTCCCCTTCGCCATGACTTTGGTTAGATGCCAACTAACTGAAACAGGGGTTTGCCCTTCATTCCTAGTCAGTTTTCCAAAAAGAAAACAAAGTGAAAAAGCTCCATAGTTCTGAGCAGAGAACAATGATCTTCAAAAAGCCAAGGACAGGAAGAAGCCAAGTCATCAGTGGGTAATGAGCTGGTCAAGGTTTGGGGAACATTCACGTACAGAAGTTTACAGTAACTAAATAAGTAACTAGACTCAATTCTTCCCCTTTGTTCCTCTCTTTCAGCTTCACCCCTTACCCTGTTGGCCAAATACTGTTGCATGTACAGGTGTTTAATCTCATCCCTCTTCATAATCTCCAGCTCCACATCAGTTGGCTCTGCTTTTTCAAATTCCACAAACTTTGGAAGATCTAGGCTGAATGTAGATGCCTTTGATGATCTAGATAATGAATCGAGCATCATCAAATCCCCGTCCTTTTTAAGAGCGAGTCTGAGGAATCCTATACTTGAGGCTCCAGACCCTATGTGTTCCATTTGGGAGGGGTTTTCTTTTTCACTTTTCATCAGCTGTTGCTTAAAATTTTGGAGTGTTTCCTCATCAAACTGAAATCTCCTTTCTGGAACTTCTTCCGGGTGTATGTGAGGGATCTGGGGAATGGGAATGTGTTTGGATATGTGAAGAGTCGACTGAATGTTCTTCAGTTCTTGTACCAGGCACTGTATTTCCTCAATAACAGCCACTTTAAGGTCTCGAAGAGAGAGGATGCACTTGTTCATATGATTTTTCTTTCCATGGACCTGAAAAAAAAAGGAAGAAAGCAAAACAATAACACACACATCCACACACACCCACAGAACAGGTGGAAATAAGATTTATTCTTTTTCCTTGACTGATAGGCCTAGTAAAAATTCAACATAAAGTAATCTAATCATCTCTGTTCACCACTAAGTTACCTTTTTCTCTAGAATTTAGGCTTTTTTTCATTTAGCCCCTCCAATATAGAAAGGTATATCAATGTTTTCCACAGTTTGCTCCCTCCTGCTGGCATGCATGTCTGAGTTCCCCTGCCCTCCCTCACCACTCATGGAAGGCCCTCCAAGAGCCTTGTTCTCAGCTGGATGCTTCCCCAGAGAAGGAGAAGGGTTAGGGTTAGGGTTAGGGTTAGGGTTAGGATTAGGCTTAGACTCACTTAGGGTTCCCTACCTAGAGCCAAGTTACAGGTTAGCACATTTTCATTCTGAATTTTTAGCCAAATGATTACTGTTACACCCAGTGATCCTGAATTTCAGTATCATGTCACACCAAGAGCTTGCATGATCCTTCTTTTGTTTCTTCTCCATTTATCTAAGCCAAGCTATGCCCCTGCCCCAGGCATAGCTGCTATTCTCACCCACTGCTCTTTCATTACCAGCTCTCTCCCTGGTCTGTGTTTTTCTAACTGGAGCCTAGGGGCACACGCAACCTTACCTCCTGTGTGCAGTTAGGCTACTAATGGTCCAAAGTCGTTGAGAGTTTCTTTACATAACTAGACAATTTAAAAAATAAAAGATCAAAAGGTACTTCTTCAAGGAGCCTACAAAACGTATGCATATATTTACTATCTGTGAAACAAACAAACAAAAAACAGTAAGAGAAAGGAGATTCTTAGCCTGTAATCCCACGCTTTGGGAGGCCGAGGTGAGTGAACTGCCTGAGCCCGCAGGTTTGAGACCCGACTGGGCAACTTGGCGAGACCTCATCTCTACAATAAATCAAAAAAATTAGCCAGGCATGGTAGCGCACACCTGTAGTTTCAGCTACTAGGAAGGCTGAGGCAGAAGGATCGCCAGAGCCCAGTAGGTTGAGGCCGCGGTGGCCAGGAGCATGCCACTGCACTCCAGTCTGGGTGACAAAGTGAGATTCCAACTCAAAAAAAAAAAAAAGAGAGAGGAGATGGGTTGCATACTTGAAAATAAATCTTGAAAGCACTAAGAATCACCTCTGAAGTACCTGGAGGACTGCAGATTAGGATGAGAATAAACCCAAACCACTCTGACGGTTCCTCATCTCTGAGAAGCCTCTCAACATACCAACTCCTTCTTTCCAGTTTTTCAAATACTATCCACACTTAAACACTGGGGAAAAAGACAGATGATACAGTATTTTTTTTTTTGAGTTGGAGTCTCACTCCTTCGCCCAGGCTGGAGTGCAGTGGCACGCACGCTCATGACCACCGCAGCCTCCACCAGCTGGGCTCAGGCAATCTTTCCGCCTCAGCCTTCCAAGTAGCTGGAACTACAGGTGTGCACTACCATGCCTGGCTATTTTTTATTTTATTGTAGAGACGAGGTCTTGCCAAGTTGCCCAGGCTGGTCTCGAACCTGAGGGCTCAGGCAATCCACTTGCCTTGACCTCCTAAAGTGCTGGGATTACAGGCTGAGCCACCAAGCCCAGAAGATACACTATTTTTTTAAATGATGAATACTTTTCAATGATTTTACATTTGACCATGACAATAATGACCATTTATCGACTTTGATTGTTACACTAAACTAAACTCTATGAGGTAAACTGGACATGTCTTATTGTTGTTAATCGATATTAATACTCTTTTTAGAGATGAGATAAAAGGCCTACGGAGATTTACATGACTTAGCAAAGCTTACATGGCTATTCAGTGACAGAGATGGAAACAGAACTCTAGTCTTCTGACTTGTAGAACAAGGTATTCTACACGATTTTATGCTGTCATTTTAATAAAGCAGATTTCAATGTAATGCAATTAAGTTGAAGACATCATACCTGCCCATCTTCCCAAGCTAGACTATGAAATTTCAGGTAGGATGACTTATTGGTTGTGGTCATAAGAACATTTTCTCTAGGATGATGGATAGAACATGATGAATAGACAAAAACTACAAACAGTTAAAAAACAATCCAAGTGATTGCTAATAAAATTTCCAAAATGTCCTTTTTGATTAGAAAGATACAGTTATGAGCTATTAAATGTATTTGTGGATACAAATTGCCATGTGCTGCTGGCATGTATAATATCTTTGGTAAAACTCATTCCACAGAGCCCAGCCAACACTTCATTTTCATTTGTCAGAAAATATAAAATATTCTAATATACTATATCTGTTATATAACTGGTACCCTCTCCAATGTGATGCCTTGAAATGTGCAAACTTCACAACCATATTAGGTGGTCAAGTATCACATTCTACTAAAAATGGTAGTTCAAATGCCTGCTAAATCTGGTAATTAAGGAATTAATATGGCTGGGAGAAGAACTTTTATAAGAAAACAAGGATCAGAAATCAGGATGGGCCGGGCTCGGTGGCTCAGCCTGTAATCCCAGCACTTTGGGAGGCCGAGGTGAGTGGATTGCGTGAGCCCGTGGGTTCGAGATCTGCCTGGGCAACTTGACAAGACCTCATCTCTACAATAAATCAAAAAATCAGCCGGGCGTGGT